TTCCTGTTGGCCAGGGGGGGGGAGCTGTGTGGCCCCACAGTGGTCTTGCGGAGAGGACGAGGGGAGCCCACCAGACTCCTAGGGTGGCATCTCCTGGCTTGAGTTCTTCCCTGCACTATGCAGGAGGGATATGCCTGGACCTCTCCATGGTCCCGTGCCCCAGGGACAGCGTGCAGAGCCCTTGGGCGTACAGAGCCCCCCCACCATGCCCTGCTCCACGGGGTGGTACCAGCTCCCAGCCTGGCTGCAGCTGGTCCGCTCCTGCTCCCTCCCACTAAGACCTCACCTTTGCCTCTTCTTACTTTGCAGGCACTGCTCATGTCACAGTAATGGGTATGAAATGTGTCCCTCTGCCCCAGCTCAATGGCCCATTTCACCCCATGGCCACTAACCATCCGCACGCCATATCCATCTGCTGAGCCTTGCTGCTGGGCTGGTGCTATCCAGCGCAAGCCCTGCCATCCTGCCCTGCCCATCTGTGTCCGTGCTGCTTGCTGTGGTGTGACTGCATGAGTGGGGCCGTCGCCCTGCTGGGGGGAGCCCTGGCTCCCTGTTGGCCCCAGGCCCCGTCCCTGGTAGGCAGAAGAGCCTGGTTCTGTGACAAACTCCCGTGCCCCTCCAGAACCGCCCCGTGCCATCCTGGCCAAGGCAGGGATGAACTCGAGTGCTCGAGAGTCTCTGTGCTGCTATGGTCCCCTCCTCATCGCTGGGGCTCTCTCCCTGTTTTGGGCAGGTGCTGGACCCCCTCCCACAGGGCATTGGCGAGAGCTGGACCCTGGTCAACTCCTTAGCAGGTGTTAATTGGGCCAGCAGGCAGTGCTGGCTGGGACTGTGGCTCCAAGAGGGGTGCACAGATGAACTTGGCAGTGTTAGGATATCCTTCCTGTATCTCCAGCCCTGCCTACACTCCTGTCCCCAGTGTCCCCAGCAGGCTCTGCTCTGTGCTTGGTGCTGTGGGAAAGGGGTCAGCTGGCAGCCAAGGCTCCTGACAGCTACCGTAGCTCCTGTCCCACTGACCTGTAGCACAGGCCTTGCCCCTGCCAGCACACCCCATCTGGCAGAGGCCAAAGCTGTCCCATGGCTGGCTGAGACCCAGGGGACGAGTGTGTGTGGCTAACAGTGGGAGCAGAGATGAGCCCTGGTTCCAGCCCTGAGGAGGGATGGGGGCAAGGGCTGGACATCTGTGCTCCCTTGTCCTTCTGCTTCTCTGCATGCTGAGCCAGCTCTCGGTTTCAGAGGAGGAGCTGATTGCACCAAAGCCCAGGACTCCCAGTCCCAGGGACCAAGAAGGCAAGAGGGAGGTGTTGGAATTTGTGGCCACGGCGACGCTGGAGCAAACGTAAGAGGCACTGGATGGTGGGGAGGGAGTGCTTACAGGGCACAGGGCCAGCCTGGTGCTGGGCTGAGATGCCAGCGGGGCAGGGTCAGCTCTGGGCAAGGAATGGATCACTGAGCCCCCACCAGCTAGCATAGCAGGCAAAGCTAGTCGGTGTTGTTCCTGCACCAGGACATGGGTCTGCTGTTGAGTTTGCCTTTGTCTAGCATCCCTGGGGATGGCTGGGGGCTGAGGGTCCCAGGCTTGCCACTTCAGTAGCTGTCACTGCCCTCTCCTGGCAGGGTGGAGTCTCCAGCTGTCCTGCAGGTTCCCTGCATCCCACCTGAGACTGTGGTGACCAGAGCGGAGGAGACTGAGCAGGTAGGACCTGTGGAGACAGAAGCTGAGCAAGTCAGCCTGCTGCATGCACCCTCGGTGTCCCCACAGGAGGTGAGCATGAGACACAGCCTGCCACGGGACCCCCAGGCATTCCCTGCTGGGGGGAGCCACCCCATCACCACAAAGCCAAAACGTGGGGTGGGTGGTTGGGAGGGACCCAGTGGTAGGGGACTGTCCAGGGAGGGTTGTGAGCCTGTGGAGGAGTGGACAGGCTCAGCACCCCCAAAGAGGACCCTGTGCCCATGGGGGCTCTTCCTTGCCATACACAGCCCTCAAAGGAGTTCGACGAGGACTCCCTGATCCCCAGCAGCCCTGCCACGGAGACCTCGGATAACATCAGCCCCGTGGCCAGCCCCGTGCACACAGGGTGAGTGCCCAGCCCATACAGCAGATGCATGCGCAGCATGTGAGCCGGCTGCAAGGTGCCCACCTGCCCATCCCTCTGCCCACTCCAGGTTCCTGGTGAGCTTCATGGTGGACGCCCGTGGTGGCTCCAGGCGGGGCAGCCGGCACCACGGACTGCGTGTTGTCATCCCACCCCGTGCCTGCGCTGCACCAACCCGCATCACCTGCCGCCTGGTGAAGCCCCAAAAGCTGCCTGCACCCCCACCGCTGGCTGAGGAGGAGGGTCTGGCCAGCAGGATCATTGCCCTGGGGCCCGCTGGAGCCCAGTTCCTCAGGTGAGCACAGCTGGGAACAGAGCAGATGGGGCTGCCCACACCAGGGCCGTCCCTCAGCACTGGGGATGTATCCAGGCTCCTCTGGAGTCTCTGCAGCTGGGGCAAGACCTCTGCCCATCTCTGCTTCTGGGGGGTCGTCTTCAGGAGAGATCCTGCCTCCAGCCAGGCACAGCATGTTTCTGGGGTAGATGATTCCAGCATAACAGAGCAGCAGCTGTGCTGTAGTAAGAAAAACCCTGACCGGGCTCAGAGCCCTGTTTCCCAGAGAGAGGGATATGAGCAGTCCTGCCTTCCTCCTTGGCAGCTGCACAGCATGGGCAGGTGCTCTGCCCACAGCCACCTTGCTGCCTGCATGTCCCGGTGGCAGTGCATGGGTGCAAGCACCCTTCCTCTGCTGTCTGCAGCCCCGTCATTGTGGAGATCCCACACTTTGCCTCATACGGGCGCGGAGACCGTGAGCTGGTGGTGTTGCGCAGTGAGAATGGCTCTGTCTGGAAGGAGCACCGCAACCGCTATGAGGAGAGCTACATGGACCAACTGCTCAATGGCATGGATGAGGGTGAGCGTGCCAGGAAGGCAGGAGGCCAGCACCATGCAGCTCCCCACAGGGCAGGGCTGCGGCCGGCTTCGGTGGTGGGATGGTGCTGAGTGTGGTGTGGTTGGTGCAGCTTGGAGGAGGTGGTGGGTGAGAGCCGTGGGCTTGGTGTGTGAGCACTGATGGCTGTGCTGCCCTTGCAGAGCTGGAGAGCCTGGAAGAGCTGGAAAAGAAGAGGGTCTGCCGCATCATCACCACCGACTTCCCTCTCTACTTCGTGGTCATGTCCCGGATTTGCCAGGACTGCGATCTGATCGGCCCCGAGGGAGGGTGTTTGAAAAGCACACTGGTGCCCATGGTGCAGGCCACCTTCCCAGATGCTGCTGTCACCAAGAGAGTGAGGCTGGCCCTGCAGGTGAGCCCTGGAGAGCCTGGCCTGGGGCCCAGCTGGGCTCCTGCAGGCAGGGGTGGGCAGCAGACCCAGGCTGTACCCCAGCCCCGATGCCCGTGCTTGTGCCGCCTGCAGGCGCAGCCTGTGCCCGATGAGCTCGTGACGAAGCTGCTGGGGAACCAGGCGACTTTTAGCCCCATCGTCACGGTGGAGCCGCGCCGGAGGAAGTTCCACCGCCCCATCGGCCTCCGCATCCCACTGCCACCGTCCTGGAAGGACAATCCCCGAGACAGCGGTGAGGGCGCCACC